TCTCACTTATGATCTAAGTGCTGTAGTTTTACTATGTTCATTTTTATGAATAGGACAGGCTTTGGTTGAATCATCAGTCTTCCTTCAGGGATGATGCTGAAATCTGCTTTACATTTTAAGTGCAAGCAGTTCCTAGTACTTCTTCTGGAATCGACTGTTTCTTTTTACATCTGCTATTTCTGTGTGGATGCACGTGAGGTGCCTAATGATTTTTAGTTTTGGGGTAAAGCTCTTGTACTACATTAAAAGTTATAAAGGAACACAATGGAAATTAAATTTGCTAAATTAGAAAAGCCACAAGATGGCATCAAGTTGTCAACTGTATCCTTTGCTCCTCAAATTTTTTTAAAGGTCAAAATTTTACAAACTTTGTGACTCTCTACCTAGAAACCAGCTGGAGTAGTGTAGGGAGATAGTCGACAGGTTTCGGCGTGTTTCTTCCTCCCATAACTTGTAGCTTGCAAAGGAAACTTCATTAGCTGCAGCTTTTTGCTTGTGCTTCAGCCTGTGTATATGTGAACAGTGCCTTCAGGAAAAAAAATCTGCCAATATAATGTATAGTGTGATTTTTGTTAAGGCAGTTTCTGTTTTCGGTGTGAAATGAGTGAGAAAAACTGAACTGTGGTTGTTAATGATCTTACAGGGTTCAGAAAAATGCCAGGTACCCTTTAATTGAGTCCCAGTTAAGTGATAATCACAGATTTTACAAATTAAAAAAGAATTTTTTTATGTAAAGAGAACACTAAAAAATGCCTTAAGCGATATTACAAAAATGAACAATCAGTGAATTAAATACACTTAGAGATGAACAAAAAATGGAAACTCGACAAATAAACTTTTAGTATCTGGAAGGCTATTAAAAGTCTAAAAGTCAGACTTTAGCATTCCAAGAAATTGACTTTTTTATGTTACTGATTTCTATTTTTTTTTTTTTTTTGCATTGCAACAAATTGAGGATACAGTGTATTGAGGCAGAGACAAGGATCTTTCCTAAATAACTTGCATTTTAACTTCTGTAAATTCTCGCTGTAACGCAGAAGTAGGTAAATGCAAATGCCCATATATAGGGAAGGTGAAGGGGGTCAGTAAGCTGCATAGGAAATGTGTGGTTTTAAGGGACTTTTAACAATATGCTTGGGACTTCTCAAATGCACCGTGAAGGCAGCACACTCTCTCTAAACACATTAGAGCACACGCTAGTTTCTGAGGTTTTAAGCTAAAAATGAAGAACTGGGGTGGAACTATGCAAAAAATGAGGGAAGGATAGACCATACTAAAAGTTTAATTACGAGGGCATGCCGCAATAGTAGAGGCCAGATATCCTTCAGGATATGCTTTTTTTTTTTTTCTTTCTATTGTACAACAGACTCTCTGTGGGAATCTTGAATATTTCACGCATGCCAACCTGCTTTTGGTTAATACCCCTGCGTCAGGCCCATGAATTTAAGTGTTTAGAGGTAAGGCAACATCAGCATGGCAGAAAATATGCCTGTTAAGCAGGTGTTTTGTGAAGGCCCAGGGCAGTTGGCACCATTGTGACTGAGAGTGAATTGCACTGCTGAGAAGATGCCCTGAAAACGATTTGGAGCCATGGGGCAGTATTAGGTTTTCGATATACGTTTTCTGGATTTTGTTCCATGGCAGCTTGTTCTGCTTGAATGATCAAGTACTCATATATTAAATGTAAATCCTGAGTTAACTATATATATCTTGCATGGTAGATTAGCAAAACTAAGCTAGGCAACATGTTTTTGATTAAAATATTGTGTTAAGTGGTCGTCTAAAAAGATTTGTATTTTTCAAATTACATCGGTTTTGTTACTAAATTAGTTTGAATTTATGAATATTCATAATGTGCTCCTTAACAATCTAGAACAACTTGTGCATAAGAATGAGGTACGTCAGCTTTGAGCAAAACTGCAAAGTGCTCAGAAACTTTGAGAAAATGAATGTTCCTTAAATAGCCAAGCAGTGATTTCTGCTCCTTCTGATGCTCTGGCTCCAGCTGCACAAACAAAAGCTGCTCTACAACAAATTGGAGCTTGAATTTGCAGCCTGCTGGTTACAGAGGAACAACTTTGACATTAGCAGTTCTGCATTAGGCTCTCAGCAATATCCTCCTGCGCAAACGCTGAGCAGTCAGCAGCACAAGGCGCGATCGCGTGCGAACGAGCAGCCGCCCCGGAATAGCCACCGCGCCATAAATTAACAGCAGCCCCGGCCTGGCGTGGCTGCGGGAATCAGCCTTGACACCGGCCCCATCAACTTCATTCCCTTTTTTTTACGCCCCTCCACTCATAGCATTATAATCCTACTTGTGGTCATACTTGTATCTTACACAGAAAGGTGTATCATAAATACTAGCGAGTTGTCATAGGAAGACTTATACCTTTGTCTGAATGCTGTCAACGAGCATTCGTTTCATGCTTAAAATTAGTATGTTTTGTTCCCAGGACAGTGCAAAAGTTAGCAAAATTAACCTGCTAATGACTTTCTTACAGAAAGGAGAGTGCATTTTGCAATCCCATTGAGGGTATCAATCATCACGGCTTCATACTCCTGTATTTTCCTCCTCTTCATGGGGCCCTTCTCCCAGCATGAGCTGTTTTAAGCAGCTGGGTTGGAAATACTGGAGAGGGCCACTCTTGCCAGGCTGCCGCCGGTGCGGAGGTGGTGGTGAAGGGCACTCGCTGCTATAAAGAGGCAAAAAACAACGGGGTGAACGGGCCGCAAGGGAAGGAGCCTGCGGGGTGGTTTTTGTTTGAGTACATGGCAATAAATCCACCTCTGTGCCAAGCACGAGCGCAGCTGCCGTCACGAGCTGGGGTTCAGCGTGAAACCACCCGTCTTAGCCGTGACTCGCAAAACCAGAAATCAAAACCTCCATCGGAAACTGCTCTGTGGAAACGGGGCTCACAAATAGCAATAGCGGAGGAGATCACAGGCATGGACGTGGTTGCTGTCCCTTGTACTGTCCAGTTGATCCCATGTTTTCATTGAGGTTTGTAATTTTTTGTCAGTTGAAATGTTCCCAGAGCCCTGCCTTTTCCTGAGAGGGAAGCCTCAGAGCAAAGTGAGGGGGAAGCTCCCAAGTAGATCAACTGAAAATTATTTCATTGGGCAAGATCTTTTGATATTTTGGTGGTGAGAAAGAACCCAGAGCCAATCCACGAGTGGGTGACCTGGAACCTAAAGCAAATATTTGGTACCACAGTGCTTTCCAAGATGCAGAAAACTCTACAGCCTTGAAACTGAGGGAAATAAGAAGTTAAATATCTTCAGCTTGCTAATTTTCTTTTCCTTCTGTTCCATAAAGTGCTGCTTATTTTTTACTTTTTTAGGGAAATGTTAAGGAGGGAGTTCATGGTGCTGCTTCCAAATGTATAACTAATGTGCAATTGATGCAGTCTTGTCACACAGAAAATTACATTTTCTCTATAGAAGCAGATGCAAAATGTCTCATGTCCATATTTGCGGACAGAAGGAGGATATTGTTTCAGATAACGGCGCTTTATCAGGCACAAGGCTTCTACATGCATGGCCTGCTGCTCTTCCCCGAGAGTGCGGGGCTTGGGATGTTATTTTCTATCTGAGAAATTTCAGTGAAAGGTCAATGACAAAAATACCTTTTTTTTTTTTAAGGTGTAGGGATTTTTTGTTTTCTTTTAAGTCTTGAAATAACCATTTCTGACTCAGGCGGCTGGCATGGATACTGCTATTTTAACATCAGAAAACAGAAACAGCAGAAGTCAGGACTCAACCATTTCCTGAAATGAGGGGTTAAATCTGTGGTTTGAAGGTTGATAGGAGGGTGCTGATTTTAGAAGTTACTGAAGCTGCTGACTGTATGAAGGGCTGGCTCCAGCCTGCTGTAACTAATGGGCTGGTTTTGGGTGAAGCTAAGGAGAGGAGAGAGATTTTGAGTAAATTCCTGGTTTCCAAGGAGGCAAGTGATACTCTCCTCTGTGCCGCTCAGTTCTGAAGATAAAGATCAAGTTTTAACTTTCCTGGTGGAAACTTGGAAGCAGTTTCTTTAAGTGTTATTTAAATCATGGAACCTGAGGCTCCTTGCGCAGCCACCTCAGGTTGTCCTGCGAATTCGAGATCCCGCTGTTGCTCGTGTGCAGGTCTGCAAACGAGCGGCCGCCTGCAGGGGCTCCCGCCGAGCCGCTGCTCCTCACCTCCCCGAGGGGGTCTCCTGGGTTACACTGCAGGAGGGGTCTGCGTAATTCTCACGTGAACCAACGCGTCCGATTTGTGTCCAAAGCTTTTATGTCATCTTTGCAAATGACGCAACTGGAGTATAAACATATATATATTTTTGCGTTTTTAGTAATAGACTTTGGATTCAGTAGGGCTTCACAAAAACACCCGAGAACAGAATCTGTTTTCACGGGAACTTTCATGCTGCTTTGGGTGCAGACCTGGTGTCTTTGCTTTTCTCGTGGCCTGCGTGTTGCCTGTGTAGAGCTCACCCCAAGAAACAGTGGTGCGTGGCTTTTGTTTGCTCCATTAGGGTAATTGGATAAGGCGGGAGCAGAACCTATTATCGTGTGGGCTATTTCTGGGCATGGAACCCGTTGAGACAGGACCACGCTACCACTTCTTGCTCCTGCTTCTCCATCCAGAGCATAAACTCATCTTGTCTGAAAATTTATGTAGCCAATTGCTCACAGATACCTGTTAACCCTCGGTTCCAAGCAACTGAGGCCAAAAAGAAACAACAGTGTGTATTTTAACAAATAATAATAAATTTCTCTGACTACAGGACAAAAGGTGCTGAATGGCATGGGATGCTTAAAATTTTAACCTGTAAAGGCTTACCAGGTTGTCTTTCTTGTGGCAGGTTTAAAACAGGGTCTGCTTAAAAAAGATGTTTTGTGTGAACTCTTGATGGAAAGATACTGCCCTTATTTTCATGATATTCTCTGTTCGTTTGAAAATGCGCGTACCTGACAAGGAGGCCGGCTGTTAATGTTGCTCCTTCTCTCTTTCAACAGGAAGGTGCTTCTGCCCGAAAAACCCAGACTCCAGCAGCACAGCCCGTCCCGCGACCAGGTAAGGTAGCGCTGCGCTCTTGCAAGCGTGAGCTTCAGAAAAATTGCACCTAAGTCTGGAGCCGAAGGACAGGGTGGGAGTCATTTATTTATGGCCTTGAGTTGTGTGTATTTGAAATGAGAATTAACTGGTTTGGTTAATGTTTTATCCTGCATGGCTTGAGAATTGAAATGGTCCAAGGTCGGGCTCGCTCTGAACTGCTGCCAGCTAAGGTTTCCCAACGGCTGGGCTAGGGTCAGGCTCCTCGTTTATCAGCACGGTACCTTGCAAGTGCCAGGAGCTGGAATGCTTTTGAAATCCAGCTGTTTTGCCATGCTGAGCAGCGGGGATCTTCCTTCACCAGCTGAAGAAAAGCTAAAACCCTAGAACTTAAGGACGTCAGTGGGGTTTTTTTGTTAGTTTTTTTTCCTGCCTGTATTTGATATCTGTTTGGAGGACTCCTTACAAGCTGCTAAGGAGCAGTGCTAGAAAGCTTCCCAGAAGTGCTCCGAGCATTCGTGACAGGGCTTATTACCTCTACCGGCATCAGCTGAATTAGTGCCAGTAAGTGACGAATAGCACTTAGGGTCTTCAGATTAGATCAGATACCTATTGTGGTAAGCACAGCCCAAATATATAGCGAGAGATAGTTAATGCCCTAAGGAAAAACAGCCTAAACAGCAAAACTAATTTCAGGAAGAAACGCCTTACTACTTCTATTATCAATATATCTTAAATCATTTATATTTTTCTTAATAAATTTTCACCATTACTTCTTCTCCCTTCTTACTAAAAGGGACCCACATATAAGATAATTGTAATGGGCATAGAATCTTGAACTGGATGTTTTAAAATCCCAATCTAGTTGATTTTAGCTACCAAGTCAGTTCTGGACATCAAGTTGAATCTCGGGTTGAGATCAGAGATATAACAGTGTAGGTGCTTTGTCTCATTTTAATGAGAAACTCCTAAAAAGGTGTTTAAAAAGAATGTAAGAGTGTAGCCAGTATATGAGGGCATGAATTTTAGCAAACAGCAATATGGATATCTGCTCTCAGTCCATATACTGTAAGAGTTCTTGTTTTGGTAGGAGAGAGTCTCAAGCAAAAGATGTTATTTAAGGACAAAAAGAAGGTTATTGCTCTTACAAAGGTGCTTAAAAAGTGTTTTTTGATTAAAAAGAAAAAAAGAAAAAAAATTCTTTTAAAATTAACAAAGAAGCTGTGCTGAGTGATTTGTGATCTTGTTTAGTCTGCTAAGTGCAATGAGTGCCTGCCCCGCTAATTCCTTGGGATGTGCTAGTAGGGTTTAATGCTGAGACTTAGTCTTGTAAAAAGAGCCGTCCGCAAAAGTCTGTTTTCATACTGGATGCGCTCAGCATACCTGAGTGCCCTTGTGAACAGCTTCTTCTGTTTGGTTATTTTGGTGCTGGAAAGGTCACGCTGCCTGTCATGTTCATCTCCCAAGCACTGTTGAGCATAATAATGCACCTGGAGTTGACAGACAGCGATAAAAGGGTAGAAATGGCGAGAGCAGAGATCTGACTGAATTGTCACAGGTCCCTGCTTTTAGCTCTAACTTCGTGTTGTTACGGGCAGGAGTGTGTTTTTGTACCTTATTTAGGTTATGCTGGTACTGTTTTTCTCTAAGGCCAATCTCATCCCATATCTCCACACTGTAAACTAAAGAGACGGTAGAAGGGCACAGTCTGAAGGAAGTATATACTATTTGAACTGCATGGCAAAGAAAAGCTATCTTTCTGTTCTAGAATATTTTTGGTTTTGAAACATTTGAAATATTTCAAGTATTTAAACACGCGATCTACAAGAGGATCCTATTTTGTTTTATGCATTAGTTAGACAAGACAATATTACAGTACTGATTTGAAAAATAATCATTTAGGTGCACTTTTAATTTCAGGTTTTTGTATGCTTGTCTGGAGTAGCTAATTTTCTGCTAACCTGTAGCAATGTTTCAGTGCAACTCTCAGACTTCGTAGAAATTCTTTCTTCAGGGCAGCTGATGCTGTCCATATATTTCATCTGTGTATTTGTCTGCATATTTTTCCAAGAAAGATATATAGATATCCAACTTTAACAAAAAGAAAAACACTGGGTAGGTAAAGTTCATGTAGTTCAATATAATGTCACCCATTATATCTGTTCATCTGATAGTGGCAAGAAAAGATAATTAAGGATATGGTCTCTGTATTTCAACAATGGCAACTATGTGGTGTGAATATTTATACTGTTCTAGACAGTTTCTGAAACAGTTGGTCATAAATAAACATGAGCAAGTTGGTGTTACAAAACTGGAAGTCAATTAATGAAATTTATCATGCATAGTAGCAGTTGAGACTTAAGATAGAGTATGCATCAATCTTTGTACTACTCACCATTTTCTAATTTTTTTAATTAGGATAAAAATGTATGATGAGAATTATCAAGCACAGCAGTTGTTAGGAGTCCTGAAAAGTCTGTTTTAAAAAATGAGCTATAAAATGTTTGTTGGGAGGAAGACAAGTTATGCTTCTTCCTTCTGATAATATTTCTGAATAAGCATTTCCAACTTTGGACTGAAGTAACTCTCATGTTATGGAGGTCACTGAACCTAGAAACCTGAAATCAAAATATTTAGTTTAAAAAAGAAAAAAAAAAGAAAAAACAAAAAAGTTGCAACTATTCATGTTGGGGGAATCATCTAAGGAATCATTTATTTTTCAAGGAAATTCTAGTTAGAGCTCAAACAATTCAGAAATGATGGTAAAGAGCCAACGTGTCTATGGAGGACATGCAGATTTTGATTGTAGAAAGTTCTGTGTGTGGTAAGAGGTAGCAAAATTCTAAGATTTTATCCACAACAACAAGAGTTAATGAAAAGGTGAGGGTCCCTAAAGATTACTTTATGAAGCAGTTTTCATGTTGGGTCAGCACTTTTGAACTCCAGGGTCTACAAGCAACTTGCTGTTGTACATGCAATATTGGTCAGTGTTACCGTGATCCAGCCCCTCAGTGTACACGGAGAAACAGGGCTAGTTCAGTAAAAGTAGATGCATTTGACCTAACTAAACTCAGTGTTTTCAGACAGAAGCTTTTCATCTTCTAAAACTGCAACTCGAATCACAAATCCTTTTTTCAACTTGAGAAATTGCATCTGTATAAACTGTCTGTTTACTGTAATGCGACTCCTCTGTTCTTTCTTGGGAGTAAAAGCCATGAAATGTTGCCTTATAGCAACATCTGTGTTATGTATTAGTCATTTTGCTATAATATCTGATCCCCCGTCCCCCCTTTTTTTTCCAGTTTCTCAAGCAAGACCACCTCCAAATCAGAAAAAAGGTGAGTCATTTTTAGTTATATCCTCCTCCTTATTTTTGTGTGAGGTGGTTGTGCTCCATCTTTTTCTGGACCGCAGGCAACAATACGAGGCAGCCGTGCGCTGCACGCAGGGTGCTGTTTGGCTAAATCCGGGTCACTGCCCCAGCCAGCATCACAAACAGCAGACAGAAGCACTTTTTTTTTTTTTTTTTTCCCTTTTTCCTGAATGAAGATTTCCAATTAGGGAGCAGATTTACTACAGATTTTTATTATTTTTCCATACTTTTGGCCTATAAAGTAAGTGTTCTATTTTGTTTTTCAAGTATGGCTCATTTTGTAACAGGCAAATGTAACTTGATTATTTCTACAGGGTCTCGAACTCCCATAATCATTATTCCGGCAGCCACCACCTCTCTAATAACTATGCTTAATGCAAAGGATCTTCTGCAAGATCTCAAGTAAGTAGCTGATTAGAATATACTGTATAAAAGACTGTCTTCAGATGCAAAGGTATACCTAGAGTATAATTAAATAAGAAGGAATAAGAAGAAATAAGACAGTATATACTGTCTCGGGACAAACTAGGTTTTACAGACCAGAGTATAAAGGACGCGCATCCCTCTTGAGTAGTAACGGAAAAACAGTCTTTTTCAAAGTTTTCTTTTTTTGCACGCTTGTGACCTCTGAGCCCAGCAGGCTGGGAGGAAGGATAGACTGTGCCAGTTTCTAATAGCTGTAGTGATTTTCACTTATGTAACATCTGTGCACACATGCCAAATCTGTCCTTGCCTATTTTACCGTGACCTCTCAAACTGCAGTCACACAGTTGTCAAGATGATGCAGACTGTCTTGTTTAAACAATTCTTGCCTAGCAATTGTTGGTAAATACAGGGCTCCATTCTGAAGTGATGAGCACTTTCTTTAAAGTTCACATACAACAAAAGGTAAGGCTAGAGTATTTTGAGCATTAAGAGTATTAAGAATTGATTATGAATATCATTATATTGATGGATATATCTTGCATATTGATCATATTAAATAAAAGACAAATCCTTATAGTGCAAAGAATTTTGGCAAAAAAAGAAGGTTAAGAGGACAAGGAATGATGCTGACATGTGCCTAACATATGTGCCTATGCATGGTGTGTGCCTAACATGCGTGAAAGTCAAGAGTCAAGAAGAAAGGGCAAGAGATGTAAATGAATGAAAAGTGCAATACCAAAATTTAGGAGAGGGAAGAAAAAAAGAAAAAAGAAAAACGAAAGGGCAAGAGATGTAAATGAATCAAAAGTGCAATACCAGAATTTAGAAGAGGGAAGAAAAAAAGAAAAAACACAACTTAGCCTTGAAAGATCTGGCACTTTAGAAATTGTGCTATGTGCCCTGAAATTCTGAATTTTTCACATTCTTCAGTGATATAGCTGATTTAGAAATGGCTGCAGGGGTTATTTTGCTGTTGTGGCATGCAGAGTTTATAACTATCTTTAGAACTAGTCTTTGATACTGCAGTCTAATAAAAATATTGGGGGAGTGGACATTGTAAAAATACATTTCAAGTTCTAAACACAAATGAATGTCTGTGATGGTGAACTCCATTACTGTCCCACGCTGGACTTGCTTTAGTCTCTGTTTGCACATTTTCAGCATGCCTGAATTGGAAGAATGTGTTGACCTGACCTCGTTGAAGATGCTTTAAAGTTAACGCTAGCGATGGGTGTCGAGTTTAGAGCTTAGTCCTGAGCAGCTGTGGCAGTTCAGTGGATACTGTCTTACCAATTACTTCCCGTAATTTGATCTTGTTCAATCAATTGCCTAAAACCTTAGGAAAGGTACCTGCTGCCTTTGTCGAGTGAGTGAGAACACTGTTTTTTTGGTGTTCTCACTTTGCCACTAAAAGAGAGAATTGCTTATTTTCCAGTTTGGATAGGAAAAGTAATTCTAAGGAAGCAGCTTAAAAGATATGAACTGTTGCACAGTCAGTTTTTGAAACGTGTTCTTGCTGAATTGGGTAGTTAGAAAATTTGCCAGTAACTATTTTTTAGCAAATTCCTGGTCGTGTGTTTGTGTGGGGAGGATGTTTTTCTTTAGTGCTAGAATTTCTTGAGTTTTGTTTTTCTTGGGTTCTGGTAGTGATGAGATAAGCCTTCGGTATTTGTAATCACACAGTAATTTCTACCTATTTTTACTTCTGGAGCACATTCCTTTTCTTATACTCCCAAGAGTAGGTGGCTGTTTTGCTCCAAAATCTTGGAACTACAATAATGTACTTCAAAAATATTCTAATGCATTCACTTATTCTTGTCCTCAATGCATATACATCTATGTAAACATTTTCTTCATTGCTTTCTTTACAATAATCATTTCGTTGGGAACTTGTTAATTGTAATTTTTTTTCTCAGAACACTCAGCTGTCGATACCCAGGACTTTCTGTCCAGGAGAAATGCATTCAAATACATTCGGCTTTTCATAGTGATTAAAGCCAAAGTTATTGCAGTCTGGGAGATAAAGCCCAAAGGCAATATATTTGGTTGTGTTTCCCTCATATAACACAGTTTCCATCTGACTGTAAAACGAAGAGAAACTGGCAATAACCTAGTGCTAAAATGAGTTCTTAGTCACAGAAACTTTAAAACTTGAAGCAGAATTGAGGATGCCTCTGTGAGCCAAATTCAAGGATGGCTTAGATGTGTTACATAGTAGTGAAATGTTAGGTTTCTTCAAGAATGGAAATGTTGCATCTTAGTACCCATGTTTGTCTAGTTTGGAGGAGGTGGTTAAATTTACTGCATTGCTTTAAAATGAGAAAAATATTCTCTTTGTTGCCCACCATTCTGTCTTTTGAGTTTTTGAGTTTTTTGGTAGTGGGTTGGATTTTTTTGTATGCTCTGGGTTTTGTTTTTTTGGGGGATTTTTTTTAATAAATCCCAGCTTTTCAGTACTCACTCCTATTTCCCTTAATTCTGATGAGTGATGAGGAAAATCTCAAATGGTTGTCTTAAAAGCTCAGAGAAGATCAAACAAATCCTCTTCTGTACCCAGCATTATATAATGCAGTTTCTCTCTGTTAATACTGGCAGAACAAGGCTTCTAATTTGTTGGTGAGAAAGACCCTTAGATATAATCAAGATTAAATTGCCCCTAACCTAAGAGGTCTTAAATTAGCACCTTTCCTAGAAACAAATTGTTTAATGTTATAGTAGATAAATTTCATTTTTCCAGAGTAGTACAACATTGCACTGTTGGGTATAGCACAAAATTGATCATGTCATCTAGATGTGATGCATGAAATATATAAATATATTGTTTTTTAGTTATCCAAATCTGCTTTGGAAAATGTATGTATTTTTTTAATAATATTCTAGATGGCCTAAGTGAACTTTTTCTCCAAGTGCCCTATATACTTTTTCTGTATTTTCTTCTGAACCTTCTAGTTATAAATCTATGAGACAAATGAGCATAATTTAACTTGTAGCTTTGGCTTTTGTATGTGTAATGCCTTTTTTGTATTTGCAATACCAGTTAATTTTAATGCACAATTCGTAGTTGTTTTTGACTTTTTGCCTTTCCAGTGCAATTTCATGCAGACATATTTAAAAAACTTGTTTTGCCTTATTTCTTACTCCTTTTGAAATGACCTTAAATCATGAAGGTTATGGTTTTTTATTTAATTTAGGAAAGTAAAATAGTTTTACTTTAAGATTTATTAGCAATTTCCACATTCTGCTTAAGAATGTGATATTGCATCTGATTTATTTCCCAAAATACAATTTTCTCATCGCATGTAAAATATTATTTTAAAGGTAGGGAACTCAAAATATAAATATCTATAATGTATTTGATAGTCATGTCTTAAGCATTCATTTCCATCCCAGCAAGATCCCATATGACTTGAGAATCATGGCAAGTATAATTGAAATATCAGGAAAACTATTAAGCAAATAAATAAACTCAGAACTGCAGTTTCTTGTTCTGTGTTAAGAATTGATCTTAGTAACCAGATGAATCATCAGGTTATGTAAAGTAACCTTCATAAAAAAAAAAAAAAAAAAAAACCTTAATCCCTTTTTGATCAAAAAACCACCTTCTGTGCAAGGTGCTTTTTAGTGTCCCAGGGAACCCTCAAGCATGGGAAAGAATGAGCTGTTGCCACCAGCAGCTGCTTGTGCCCTGGTTGTACTTAGCGGGTAAGGAGGGTCAAGCACGACACGAGGCTGTAGAAACAGCTCTGGCTGTAGTTTTGAGGTGCAGAGGACCTTTTAGTGTGACTGAAACTGAAGAAGGCTTTTGGATGTTATTTTTGTCTTTTTGTCCTGGAGGCTGAGCATGTTGGAAATGAGAAATCTTCGGCAACCGTTGCCAGTAATGCAAACTGCCAATAAAGCTGTTACTTTTTCTGTTGATTACGTCAGGTAAATTACTTCTGAACACATCTTTATTCCCCAAGGTTTGTACCATCAGATGAAAAGAAGAAGCAAGGCTGTCAACGGGAAAATGAAACCCTAATACAAAGAAGGAAGGACCAAATGCAGCCTGGAGGAACTACAGTCAGCGTTACTGTTCCGTATCGAGTAGTAGACCAACCTCTGAAGCTTATGCCACAAGACTGGTAAAAACAGTTATTTCCATTGAAAAAGTTCTTAATTGGGAGACAACGGAACTTGGAGGGGACCAGTAAAATTGTATTGGCTAGCATTAAAAGTGAACATGTGCATATAAGGGTAGATAAGAGAAAGCTGTAAACAGCTTATGTCTGTAGCCAAATACGCTAAAAATCTACTTCTCGATGGACATTGCAGTGTGAGAAATTATGCTAAGGCCTTCCGTTTTACGCTTAACGTTATCACAGGAATAGACAGGTGTTTTCTTGTTAGAGAACATAAAAGTTCAAGGACACCCTCATCTCTTTCCGTGTTGGCAGGGATCGTGTGGTGGCCGTGTTTGTACAGGGGCCTGCTTGGCAATTCAAAGGTTGGCCTTGGCTGTTGCCCGACGGATCGCCGGTTGATATCTTTGCAAAAAGTAAGTTTGTTTTAGTGGTTTGGTCGTTATTTTGTTCTGGGTTTTGTTTTGTTTTTCCCAGTTGATGTCTATGCACAGACTGAACTTGGATGCTTGCGGAGGAACAAAAAGGCCATAGGCCCCCAGCAGCTGGCGAGCCCCTTGGTGCCCTTGGTAACCGCTGCGTTATCTTCTGCAGGGCCCCATGGAAACCTCATTTTCCCACAGAGCTGTAGCCTTTACCAGAGGTTTTGAAGTAGATTCTGGCTTAAATTTACTTTCCAAGCTTCTGAAGCAGGCAAAAAGATATTGCATGTTTTAACATTTCAGAGAGAACAGGTTTGCAGGCTCTCCTTATGTTTTGCCACAGAGGATTAATCAGCTATTCTTTTAAGTTGGTTTTACAAATATGATGTGGTACCTGACAGAATCTGGAATTTCTAGTCTCAAATTATGTGCTCTGCTTTACTACTAAGGTGCGAGCTAAATTGTTAGTACTGTACTGAGCTGAACAGATTTTTGATTTACTGTAGTTAAACCCAGTATTCTTTGAGCCAGTGTAATTCCTTGCACAGGTTACCAGGTAGGTCTTCTGACTGTAGCACGGGCAGTGGGATCCAAGGAGAGTAAAAACCTCCTGTTCTGTGGTGCTTTGCTTCATTGGGAAGCTTCAGTAGAAAACAGACCTTTTAGTCTCACGTGTGGTGTCTGGTGTTTTCTGAGATGCAGATTAACAGAAAAGCAGACTCGTTCTGAAAACCTTAGTTCAGTCTGCCCTCTTCCAGTCAGCACAGCGAGGAAACGAGATTGATTGCCTTTTATGTATGTACCTATTTGGTAAGTGAAGTAGGAGCTGAAAAGTCAGATTGAAGGTTAAGAACATGTTTGTGAATGAGAAAGTAGATTTAGGTGTTCCAGGGGGAGTGAGGAGGAGGGAGGAGGTGAAAGAGCCTGCAAGCTAAAATGAAAGAAGAAACACAACAGGCACAATTTAACAAGAGAGGCTAATGAAAGAAGAAAACAACACTTGAGAATGAAGGAGCAGAAAACTGGAAATGATAAAAAGCAGAATCAAGAACAGCAATGCTAAATATTTAAGTTCTAGCCAGTAGTTGCCAATTAGTTCCTATTAATTTTAACATTGTGTATACATACATTTATAGACAGCCGTAGGAATTGTCATGCCAAGCTTTGGCAGCATACTTGATGTCATTACTTTTGCTTTTAAAAAAAAAGAAAAAAAGAAAAAAGAATCAAGATCCTGTCCTGAATAGCTCAGTCTGAAGGTCCAGACCCTTACATTTGCAAGTGAAAGAAGAATCTCTCTCTTCTTACCTGGCTCATAAGGGTACATTGAAATGCACTCTGGATTTAGAAATGCTTTCAGTTGCACTAAGGATAGATACCTAAAAGAATATTTCCCTGATAAGAGCATCTCTAGGGCTTTCCCTAATGACTCAGAATAAAGCTAATGTAAATGGAGAGAGCAGAGGCAGTGTCAGTCTGGTTGTGTTTGTATACTTTTTCCCAAAGTTACCATTTAAGCCATATTCATTGTCTTCAATTGATGGTTATCTAAATGCAGATTAGGGATTCTACAGAAGTCCACTGTTTCATCTGCAATTTGCTGTTCTTTGTGTAAGCAGCTTGGTCAGTGGTGAAGAACAAAAATTCAAAGCTTGTTTGGGGTAAAATAAGATAACTACCATAAAGAGTTTCTGGGTAAAAGTTGTATTAGACTAGAGTCTGACAAATTGGTTATAGTTTTTTTTCCAACTGCTGTGTCACATAACATTTTGTTAGTGCAGTCTGTAAATCATTCTCCTCGGTTTTCTTTCCAGGTGGACTGATTGTTTAATGTTCATATAACAAACAAGATTTTTAACCTTTGCATCTGCAAGGGAATATATCAGATGAAATTATGAATTATATCACTTTAATGAACAAATATTTAATCCGAATACCATATAAAAGGTCTTGCTACTAGAACATATTAGTGAGCTTTAATACTGATTTTTCAAACAAAACCTGTTTGAATTGGCTGTGAAGCTTCTCATTCTTCTGAAATCTCTGCATCTAAAAATAGGGGATACCTTTTTAAAACTGTAATAGCACGAGAGCTAGATTTTGGTCAGCAGTAGCTATATTTAGTTCTGTACCCTTTATTAAACAGTTGACTTCTTGAGAGACAGGCTTATTTTACTTATTCTTACACTGTATGCTGGGAAGAAAGGAGATTTTCACTGTCAAATAATTAAGCCATGTAAGTTTATCTAATTATACTCTGAATGTTTTTCTGATTCCTGTAGTTAAAGCTTTCCATCTCAAATACGATGAAGTGCGTCTGGATCCCAATGTACAGAAATGGGATGTAACAGTGTTAGAATTAAGCTACCACAAACGGCACTTGGACAGGCCAGTATTTCTACGCTTCTGGGAAACCTTGGACAGGTACATGTCTTGTTGAAAATCTCTCGCAGTGTTTTTCGTAAGTTGCATATAATAAGTTATAGAACTTACTATAATAAAGCTATAAATGATGTGCCTCTGCAGTATAATGTGTGTGGATTTAAAGGAGAAATAGTTACTGTTCAACACCAATTAGCACAGTGATTGCCCACCTCCTTTTACACAGAAGGAAAGGAATAGAGAATAATCCATGTAGAGCAGAGTTGTACCGTGGACTGCAGTTCAGGGCTTAAGAACTCTGCTGCTTTCTCACTCCATCTCACTTTAATGACAGTGTTAAATAGGTGAGCAAGTACTTTAAGATAGGAGAGGCACTGAGTGTATAATCTTACCCTGACACTCCTGAGTCCACAGTCCCCAATAGAGGAGGAAGGAGGTTAGAACAGCTGTGACGCACAGGGAGTTTTGGACTCCTGCTCCTTTCGCTGTGGTGTTGGGAGCCATCCAAGTACCTAGCACCACCGCTGGTGAGAAGCCAGGGTATCACGAGCAGCTCTGCGATGGGCAGCGCTGCTTCTGAGCCCGTTTCTCGCAGGCTCAGCACCCTCTCTGCGGAGGAAGTTCCTTGTAGTACCTCTCATCTTGAGCAGAAAAAGCTTCCTCATCCTGAAACAGCTGAAATATTGAGGGAAGGGGAAGAAATATATATTTATTGAATCTTTCATTTTTTTATGTTGATTCCATAGAAAGCTGCTAGAATGGTTAAGAGTGAACTTGAAAAAGAAAAATCCTGCAGGATATCTGAATTCCCAGAATTAACTGGAGTTTTTTTAGCTACAGTCCTTCAATATTGGAAGTCATATGATGGCTTTGACTGCATGAACTAACTTGAGGGACAAAGACTTTAGGTGACTCTCTTTTAGGAAGTTTAGATATTGTGCATAGTAGAGAGTTGAACGGTATATAAGGCATCACATCTCTTCTGCAATTTCTTAATGCTCCAAGAGATTTTAACAGTATATCTTTTGTGGAACGTTATTACTGAGAATACAATTTCTCTAACTGCCAATAGAATAATAATGTTGTTTTCTGTTAATTTTGCAGGTATATGGTAAAGCACAAATCTCACTTGAGATTCTGAATCCTTCAGCTGCCATTTATTTACTGGAGTGTATGGATTGCGAAAAATGAAAGAGGCTCCAGTTTGGAGACCAGGGCTCGCACTATAGGATTTGTCAAGAACTTTACAAATGAAGAAGGGTCACAGTTTAAACTTTTTATAAAATCTTGTTTGGATGCTTCATGCTATGGCAGGTTGATACCTGTTGTTATTCAGAAGCAAAGGGGTTTTGCTTAAAACTATTTTTTTAATAATGTTAGCCTACTAGTCTGCAATCCAAATTGTATATTTTGATAGCAGCAGTTTCTTCTCTGTTTTGTTAAATTAGTCACATTTTTAAATAATGTGTTTTGTTCTTCTTTAGAAAATAGGTTGCTCTTCACTGCAGGTTACAAAGTGTGTGTGCGCATGTGCGCACGTTTGTGTGTATATATGTATGTGTGTGTGTGTCTATATATTATATATATAAAAAAATATAGACACACTTACTCACACATAGATGTTACCAAGGCTTTCTGAACCACTTAGCTTCTTAGCTTAGTTTTGGTTTTCTTTGCTTATTGTTTCACTTATTGAGAATATTTTGTTGTGACTGATACTGCATTTTAGTCAATAGGACTTGCAAACTGAGCAAAGTGAAGATCGTTTTGGATAACTCAGAATGTCAACCTGTATATGTATATTCTGTCAGTCTTCGTTGAAAAAGGGATGATGAAAAATCAAGAACCACTTTTTTGGATTTGTAATGTCCCAGTTTACTAAGTCTTCAAACTTTATTATGAATACTTTTCTGGTCATGTTGAATTAAATCTTCATTCTTCATGCAGGTTGTTTTATTTAAACTGCAAGTGTGCATGTGTACATTCCCACTTATCAAATTACCTTTATATATGAGTCTAAATGTTACCTAGATTAAACACTGAATAGAAAGAGAGTTTGGATTTTTTTTTCTTTTTTTCCTGGAACAGCTGCCATGAGGAATGAATTTAACTTCTTTACATTTATACTTCTGGTATCACTTCTACCATTTTTCCTTGTGATAAAAGTAGTTCAGACTATATCCAAGAGTTGTAATTTGCTGATTTGAGTGACTAATTGGTGTTCTAACATGCCTGCATTAGAACTGGAAAACAAGCAGTTTACTTCTTACCAAAGAGCAGATTACTTCTTTTACAGTATGAGCTAGAAAACCCTGGTATTTGTATGAATTTGATAACATGAATCGGATGTTACATACCAGTCAATATAGAGAACGATCAAATACTGTAACACCTGCATGGATTTTTCTGGGTTGGAAAATACATGTTTATATTCCTGTTCTTGAAAATCAAAACCATGTTTTTTAATATACTTTACACTGAAGGCTTGTCAAAAGTAAAATGTTCTACCTATTCTTGCTTTCTGTTTGATGTTACCTTCAATTTTAATAAACTGGAAGGCACATCTCCTGCAGAGGCTTTCTTAAGGTCTTAAACTTAAGTACTGTAAGTTATGAGGGATTTTTAATGGTTTCATCCCTGCTGTACCAAGACTGCTGTTTTTAAATTTAGCCACTTGTCTTAATGGAGACTTAAATAAGAAAAAGAGAAAGAAAAGGAAAAAAGAAAAATAAAATGAAAAGGAGTAACCAGGATGGGAAGAAGCTCATACTGGATTTTTGAACTTCTGCAAAGTGACTGAGAAGAGCCAGCATCACAGAACATGTTTAACGTATGTTAAAAGTTCCCATAATTCGTATTGGGAGTTTGGTCTATGGAAATGTTTGTTTTTGTTTTTGCCAGTGCTTCAGCATGTCGCAAATGTATCCATGTACATGTGAATGAGCTAAAACATCCAGTACTTTGTTTCAAGCTGGGCTGTAATGGATCAACACAACAGTCACCAGTATGAGGAAATGTAACATTATAGGGTTTTTTTTTTTTTTTTTTTTTTTTTAATTTTTACCACTTTGAATAGTGTGGTATCATACCTCTGGTGCTGAAGTATTTCCAGTGAGAAAAGTATTTTTTTCTTTTTTTCAGAATTAATTGCTACTTTATGTACATGTTGTTTTAAAGAAGCTATTTTGGGGAAGAGCAAACTTGCAAAGGAAGTATTGAAGGAAAGTGTGCTTTACACACACTGCAGGATACAGACTATTTAGTGGTCTTTAAATAGGCAAAGTCCAATTATCTTTTTCTGTCCTGCCTTTCACATGTATTTTAAAAGCACGTGTAATCCTAGGTCCGATGAATTCAGGAGACAGCCTGATTTAGATAACAATCCTTATATATACTGGGAGTAACTCCCCTAGAACTAGTGAAGTTACATGGATATGAAACTGGCAGAAGAGCAAAATCCCTGAAATCTCTCTGCATAAGCTGTGATGTTTTCTATGGATTCAGCTCAGATCTTTACTTGCAAAACGTTTACAAGTTGTAAAACGCCTATTTGTGAAGGAAATGGCACCTGATTGTGCATCTTTTTGTCAGTCATAGAAATAGCAGTGTTTATAAAATGAGCCATTTTGCAATCAGGTTCCTAAAACTGCTGACATTAGTGGAAGCTGAATTAGGGTTCAGACCTAGTTTGGTCTTGGAATTAGATTTAAGACCTAAAAGAAGAGCTTTCCTGTTGCGTAGCTGCACAGAGATTATGAAACTGCTGGATTTAAAAATATAGCTCTATAGCAGCATTTTGCCGCACAGCTGGGTTTTTGGACAGTATGTTCTACTCTAATTTATCTACAAGTTAACATAGAATAATAAAGAAAACCAATACAAAGAAACGGAGAAGCTGTAGGACCAGCTATCTGTTTCAGTGAGCTGCCTTCTTATGTTGAGCAAACATGATACTCTGCTTAGAAGTGCATAAAGTGTAAACTGTTCACAATTAAAATATGTAATTAAAACTCTTAGCTTCTTGACTGACTGCAGTTTATTGAATAGCTGAATGGTACTCACATTGGGAACCAGATATCAAATAAACACTAAAGCATTGCAACTCTGCACTGTTTCCTAAATACTAAAGCAAGTTGAAAACTGGCTTGAAGTCTGTCATTGGGATCGGGAACTGTCAGCAGATTGGTATTTCTGGTGGTGGCAAAGATGCAGGAGCCAGAAGGGATGTTTAAAAAACTGATTTTAATGTAAAAACTGAAATAGCTACTGTTTACTTGAGTTTTCAGAGTGCTGCCCTGAACAAAGCGGACAAGGCAAAACTTGTTGTAACGGAAGGCAGGGCCACTGCTGTCTGAAATGGACGTGTTGACCTGCATGTTTTTATAGCGGGGTAGTTTCGTCAACATGTACTGAAGTCGAGCTCGAGCCAGACATTTTATAGAGCTGTTTTACAATGCTAGAAACCTTTTTATTTTTGAACACAGAAGAAAACTTAGATAGTGGATTGTGTGTTAAGCTGCCCTTGATCATGAGTTCAACTTCTTATTATGTGAGATTTGTCAGATAAGCCTTTATCTGAAAACAAATTTGGCTTTGCCTTTTGTTTGGTATGCAATCAGTATATAAAATACTGCCATTTTCTGCAGGAACCTGGAAAAATAAGTTTTATTAGTATAGCTTTCATTCTTTTGCTGGTGAAATATGCACTAAGTTGCTAATTCTTGCAAACACTATACAAAAAATAGAAGCTGGTCAAAACTGATGGTTTAGATAGTGATTTTAAAATTTAATGTCATGAATGCATTTTAATTCAAAAGCCATAACTAATGCCAAGTACTTTATTAGAGCCATGCGTTCATGAAAAATTAAAATCCCTGCCTGGCGAAACTGTTGGCCAAGTAGTTACAGTTCAGCTAATTTGTGGAAAATGTGGAATATCTGAATGTCATTGAGTTGTTCATTTGTTACTTAATTGATTTTTTTTCAGAGCGATGACAGCTTTGCTTTCATTTTCTGAACAGAAAGATACTTCAGGAGCACTTGCATAGTACATCTTGTTTGTGTGTTGTGTGTTCTTTTTACCGTCAGCCTGTTAACGTGTGATAACTGTGTTTCTGAGGCAATGATGAGTTTAAGTATGAACATGTTTAAGGGAAGCTCCTGTGCTTGGCGAGTGGATGGTTTCCTAAGGGGCCTCTCCTCCACTCGGCTGCCACTGACTTCTCTGCAGATGGCTCCTCTTGCAGTGGTGAAGCTCCTGTTAGAACATAAATTTGGGAATAATGACATCAAATCAAGCAAAATGTGTTTCGGTAGGTAGTACACAGTGGTAGCTTGTGCTTCTGGTCTGATTTACTGAATTTGTTTTTCTTTAAAAGATTTTATAAGATTTTTATATATAAAAATGCAAAGAACAATCTCTGATGTTTGAAACTTTAATGCGTAGATGCTTTTGCATGTAAAACTGAAAGATGAGGTGATACATAAAATCTCTAAGAAAAATATCATGGTTCGTGGCTTTTATTTGCATCTGTAAATTTATTTTTGCTCTAGTTTTGATTTAGTTCAAAATTGGAAAAACTTGATCCCCAGGTTCCTGTGTGCATCACTGAAAGCTACCAGATGTAAATCTTGAGCTGCTGATGCCTCAAGGTTTGGTAGAAAGAGTTTGTAAATCGTAAATTCTCCTAACTTTTGTCAGTGGGCCAAGAATTTACCTTTTTTTGAACCTTCAAGTTAAAATGGAATTTTTGAGAATCTGATGGGAAAAGTCACCACTGAATGAAAGCAAATGAAAAATTGTGGTGAGACTAAGCCTTTAATCTCTTGCAGAACTCTCTTAAACAGTGCTGAATGGTTGCTTTGGTTACTCTAAAACATATCTGGAGCTTTCTGCTGCTTGACCTAATGCTTAAGATTTGGAGTATACGCTTGAAATTTTTGTGGAGTTAATAGTATAGTATCAGATCAATTCCATCTTTTGAAAAGCTTTACAGAAAATATTGGGGAGAATTTTCAAGATGGAATGACTTTCCATTAGGAATAGTCAATGTAGTCCTGAGAGAAGAAACAAAAGAAGCACTCTGCTTGTTCCTGTCAGTCTAGACCACCCCATAGTTCTGTAGTACTGAAGGCTTGTATCAGCAAAATATGATTGTAAAAAATGTAAAATTCAGAAAAATTCTTTTCACTTGTTTCTGCTCCCTTGAAGTTCTATCTAGGAGACCCATCCAACC